TCAATACTTCAATGCTTAATAACATATTATAAGCAATTTGCAGGAATTTGTTCTGCCATATGCATATGGAACAAATTACAGGATCTGATAAAGATATGGTCTTTATTTGGTCTGCTAGAAAACAATGTATAGTCCTCTTTTGTGTCCATCGAGTTTGCTTATATGACTATGCCCCTTTATTCATCAGATTAATTGAACTTGGACTTTGAGGATCTATCTCTAGAATATATTACTTGGAATATTTAGAAACTTTAGTATCATTTGCTCCATTCTTTTGGGCTTTAATTGCAATACAATTCCTTAATTCCAAACCTGGAAAGATTCATGAAAAAAAAACCTCAGTTAGTTCAAGATTAAGATTAACTAAAGTTTTGTATTTTGAAATTGCTGACACATCAATCATAATATACAATACTAAAGTGAATGAGTGCTCACCAGATGCTATAAAAATATGTTTAATGAAATATCACAATTAATCAGGGAAATACAAACTAAAACATTAATTATCCATATTTTATTAGTAAAAATTAATTATTACATTAATAATTCAGACAATGAATGAGTACTCACCAGATGCTTGTAGGGTAGATGCTGGGAATGAACTATCATCATATTAATGGGAAGAAAACAGGCTGCTGTTCAATCCCTGACTCATTTATTTTTCTTTGACTTCTTCCCTATTTTTNAAATATATATTTGTTTCTAAAAAATATTTAAAATTATCCATCATCCAGAAAAAAAAAAGTAAATTAATTAATTGGTATGCACCTGAGGGAGAAGATTTGGAATTTGGGCTTGTTGGAACATAAAATAATTGGCAGAGCTATCCAAGATTGGATAGTTATTGGCTATTGTGGGGCTGCATGCTTGCATGCTTGGTAATTGTGAGCTCAAGTTGCTCAAGTCCTGCATGCAAATTCAACACATTTATTTATTATTAATCAATTTATTAAAAAAGGGAACAAAAATTGATGCTTATTTATTATTTTGGACTTTTCAATAATAAATAAATAGTTGTATAACATCTTCTCACAATTATAAAGACATTAATATATTATAAAGCAATTTTTATGTCAGGTTATATTAAGTTTCATTTTATGAAACTAGAAACTATCCATTTTTTAAGCAAAAAATATACAATATCTGTCTCGAAATAAAATAAATATATGAAATAATTAAAACAATAAGAACAAAAAAGATTGTGTACCTGATCAGCCCTCATCATGAATGCGTCTAAGTCCATCCCAAAGTCATAACACATGGGATTTAAAGAAGCAAGCTTCATTGATAAAAACTGCAAATTTTATGTAAGAGTTGGTAAGTAAAGTATACTTGTCATGATATTGTATAGCAGATAATGCATGGAATTAATATAGTACAAGAACTAAAAAATAATTAAAATTTTGATTTTGTAAAATAAATTAAAAATTAATTATAACCTCCACTTGATTTTGAAGGGACTGGACATAGTTGATAATCTCATCCAACATGAGGGCCTTCCCAGTAACCTGTTTGTCACTCAAAACCACATGAAATTGTCACCCAAATAACAATTAAAAGGATATATAAAATAAAAGGGAAAAAAAACACTTCTAAACAAACAAACAGCAAAAACATTAATTTTGCAAAACAAGACAAATGATGTTAATTAAGCCAAAAAAAATAAAATATAAAAAGAGTAAATTGTAATTTTAGTCTTGTGTGTTTCACTATCCTAACTTTTTCATTCTCTTAGAATTGTGTTTGATTTTCGATCGTATATTTACAAAAACATTACAAAAAGGTCATTTTCGCAACAATATGTCTTTTATATTTTGCAAAACAAGGTTCCAATTTCGTCTCTTGTATATGAAAAAGATTTTTTTGTAACATTTTTGCAAACATAGGGGACGAACATAAAAAACGGAATTCGAAAAGGACGAAAAAGTTAGGATAGTAAAATATACAAGACTAAAATTGAAATTTACTTAAAAAAAAAAAAAATGAAACTGACCTTGTCACAACCAGGTACAATAGCCTGGAGTAGTTTCATTCTTTCACTTATTTTCTCCCTTCTCACCTGATAACATTTAGTAGCATCTTAAATCAGTTATCATAATTATAATAAAGGGAATAATGAAATTAAAACAATATATTATTGGTTGGTCATGCGTTAACATCCGATATACTCCATCTAGAAATGTCCTTATTTTCATTAAAAAATGACATACTTTACAAAAAAAATATAAACAAAATATATATAATATATATAATAGGCAAAATTCAATTTTGGTCTTTTTTTTTTTGGTACACTAACTTTCTCCTCATTAATAATAATACGTTTTGTTGAAAATTGTATCACTATATTATCCCAAAAATGATTCATTATTTTTTGGGATTAATGTTCTAAAAATGATACAAATTGCAAACGTACTGTTTTTTACGAGTAATATACCAAAAATGATAAAAATTACAACAGAACGTACTGTTTTTGATACGGAATAAGTTAGTGTAACAAAAATAGATTTTAGACAAGTAAATGAATCAAAATTAAAATTATTAAATATAATAATATAAGTATACATTTTTGTTCAAAAGGACTGACATATGCTTAAAAGTTTGAATCCCTCATATAAGAATTTGTGATGTAATAATATATGTTCACTACTTTCCTTAACTAGTGAGGTGAAAAATTAAAATAAAAGTTAAAAAAGAAAAATTACCCTCTCAGCAAGGCTATGGCTGTCTGTGGCCTGACCCCTTTTAGCCCTCAAATGAATGTATCCTATTGGACCTTCTTTTTCTGCTGCTTTCTTTTCTTCTTTGCTCTTCTTCTTCTTTTCTTCACCAATGTCATTTTTCATTTTCTTTTGCTTCTTTCCTTTCATTTCCCTCTTCACCAATTACACCCCCCCAAAAAAAAGAAAAAGAAAAAATAATAATAATAAAATCAGAATTACATCAAGAATTCATTAACAATTATGATTTGAAAAATAATTATTTTATTTGTTGATCAAGACCTTAAATTGAGCAGAATTTGCAGAAGAGCCATCCTCCTTGGACTTTCTCTTGTTGTTTTGGTTGTTGTCCATATTGAGATTGCTCACCTTTTGAGTGACTAAGGAGGAGTCCATAGTTGTAGTGCTATTTTTGTTAGTCACATTCATAACAGAGGCCTCATTATTATTAGTGCTAGGCCCTGATGAGAAGACTTTATTACTAATCTGGTCAAGATTTTGGGGGTTTTCTTGAATTTGGTGAAATAGAGGAATTGGTGAAAATGGATTGTTTGGCTGGTCAAAACTATTATTATTATTATTATTATTATTGATGATACAAGTGTTTGACAGGAGAAGTGATGAGTCAAGGGGAAAAGGATGGTGGTGCTGAATTGAGGAAAAGGCTGCCATATTTTCTTCTTTTTTTACTTTCAACTGTGTTGCTTTGGAATCTGGAGAAAAGGGAGAGGGAAATCTGGGGAGAAAGTGATGCAACAAAGATTCTTGAGATTGATTTTAATGTGCTCAACTCAATACTAGGGATGGGCATGGGCAGCCAAAGAGGAAATGGGGAATTTAATTTATAGAAAAAAATATGTGGGTCTAGGTTATGATATGACAGAACAAAATAAATAAATTAAACAAAAAAAGAAAAACACTTTTCGGTCTTCTAGTTGCACTTTTTGGTTATTTTTTTTTTCTTTTTTCTGTTTTAATTTGGTACTATAGTTATTAATTTTGTTAAATATTAATTATTTTGATGTCGGCTTAATTTTTTATTTTATTTTATTTTTTTACCCAAAGTTGATATGCACATATCCTAAACATGTCAAAATGAGCTGGCGGGGCAGTCTAGCCCGCAGCTCACTAAAACCCACCGTTTGGCGGGATGGGCATGTCATCCTGGCAAGCCCGACCCACCCCCACCAGGGCCACGGACTAGCCCGTCCAATAAAAAAAGACAGACAGAGCATGATAAAATTGAGGATTGTGAGGATATATGGGAGTGGGCGATGAAGGAGAACAGACAGATGAAGAAGACGAGCAGGCGGAAGACACGGGCAAATGGAGGAGATGAGCAAACCAGTGGACGGAGGAGACGAGAAAGATTTTCTGAATTTGTTTTGGGTGTTTTGTTGTATTCTGAAAAATTTCTTATGAGTGTTATGTGCTATGAGAAAGAAATTGTGTGTGTGAGCTTGAATTCACAGAAGAAAGAAGAAAAAAAATAGAGGAATTCATGATGCGAAGAACAAGAAGAAGAGAAGAATGGAGGAGTCATATTGCGTGTGTATTGTAAGGGTCTGATTGTGTGTGTATATAATTAGTGAGGTATATTTATTTATTTAGATTGTTTGGGCTAGTAGTATAGAGGATGCTTGGATATAAAAAAATTTGATTTTGTTTGGTTTGGTTAGTTTTGAAAAAGTTGGTATGGTTAGTTATTAGTGAGTATAATAAAATAATATTTAAAATAAAATATTTAAAGTTGATTTGATGTAAAGTAAGAAATAAAACACTTGAAGTGATGGTTAGTTAAAATTATGCGAATGGATGAATAATGAATTAAGGTTGATGTAGTGTGTAAGAATGATTGATATATATTATTTAATTATATTGATAATATTGATGATAGTGGAGTTGAGTTAAAAAATTGATTGAGTTAAAAATGTTTGGATTTTTTTGAGATGTTTTGTATCCAAGATTTGGGCTGTTTGAGCAAGAATATAAGAAAAGTGAAATTTATCCCCAAGCCGAGTCAGTCAAAGCCGTCGCGCCCACTGCCTCGCCATTCCATTGCCGTTGTATTCTTCGACTCGATTGTCCTCGTCGCCACCGCGATCGCCGGTGAACTGGATTGATATTGGGAACACCAGCCTCTATGTGTGTGTGTGAGAGAGAGAGTCGGTGATAGTATTTTTGTAACGATGGTCGATGGTCGGATGCTCGCGGTTAGATCTGGCAGAGGTGAAGCGGTGTTCAGCCACTCTGGTTAGAGGTTCGCTCGGCAACAGTTCGTCCAACAAAAATTAGCAGTGGAATAGGGGAGTGTGGATCATATTTGAGGAGGCAGCAATTGTCGGTGGCTGGATTACTGTGGCGGCGGACGGTGACGGGCTGGCAATAGCCGGTGACGGACCGGTTTCAGCCGTGTATGTATGTATAGTGTGCGTGTATATGCGTGTTGGTTTCTGTGTGTATACGAGGTGTGTGTGAGAGAGACAATGTGAGGTAGAGTGACGTGAGGGAGATGGTGGGGTGGGGCCCACATGTGAGTGGATTTGCTAGTGTAGAAAATTACCACATTGTCCTTAATTATGATATAATTTTGACTTTTTTTTTGTCGTTCGATCATCCGATTTAAATGCTAAAACTTATTCTTATTTCTTTCACTGAACACCTTTCTTTGAACCCAACCATATATAAATGTGTGTATATATATAATCCGTAAAACTAGTGACTTAAATACATAATGACATCTTATAAGTTCATTTTTTGTCGTCATAAACATAGTATATTTTAGTGCTTAAATTAAAATTTATCATTTATAACTATTAAATTTGTTTATCCCATTTTTGTTGCGTCTTTCGTTGTTGTTTTGTCATTCTTTTTTCCCCGTTTAAGGTCTTTTCATTGGTTTTTAGTCGTTTTTGTAGTTTATTGTGTGTTTTACTTTATTTTGGTCATCTATGTGTTTTTCGTATGTTTTTCTGGTTTTTATTCTTGTTTTTTGTGTGCAGGTCAGAAGGCCCGTGAGGAAGATATTTTGCCCGAAAATTGACTGGGCAATCATGGTTGTGTAGACAGATTCGTTAACGACATATAGGAAAAAGCATAACTCAATTTTGAGCTTCGACAAGTCCGAATGGGCCCAAAACGCGAAGTCGCACGAAGTACGTCTTTGGTGTGCTGGTCATAAGCTTTGGGAGAATTTTATTTTAATAATAAATTGGCATACAAGCATCATTGAATACAGGGGTACGTTAGCGACGCGTAGGAAAAAACATAACTCAATTCCGAGTTCGGACAAGCCCAAACGATCCCGAAACGCAAAGTCGCGCTGCCCAGGCCATAGTGGCGCTAAGCCTGACTTACCTAGCAGCGTTATACCATGTTAACGACCCCAGAGGCTCGCAGCTTTCATCCCTTAGCGCCGCTAACCCCCCTTAGCGGCGCCAAGACCACCTGCAACTCCCAGAATATTATAAAAAGGCCCAAAAACTCGTTTTTATCCAATTTTTCACCACCAGCTCGAAAGGGGAGGAGCCCTAGCTCCGAAAATCTCCTCCCCCCTTCATTTTCCTTCATATTCTTCTTCTCTTCTTCTTCTTTTCTCCATTTTTCTTCTTCTTTTCTTTCTTTCTCCTTCCATTCTTCTTCTTCTCTTCTCCTCTTCTCCATTTTTCTTTCTTTTTTCTTTGTTTTCCATTTTAGGGATTAAGCTTGTATTTTGGATTCAACACTTAGATTGAGATCAATTGTAAGTTTTTCTTCTTGTTTAACTCATGAAAATGGTTGAATTGGGAGAAATGATTGATTGTGTTGAATTTATTTTGCGTAGCTAATTCCGGTTGCTAGGGATAGGGGATGATTGTTCTTGTTTAATTCATAATTATTGGGTTTTAATTTGTTCGTTCTTGTGCGAGTTGATTATGATAGGAATTGATGAATTCTTGCTTGATAATTTGATATAACCTAAGAGTGACACTTAGGTTAATTTATTGATATAATCGAAGAGTGACACTTCGACTTTGCGATTGAAACGATTGAATATTGATTTTTTGAGTTAGGGTTTGTTGATTCTACATGATTAGTTGATTAAACACCTTCTAATTTAATTAGTGACTTTTAGAACCGAAAGGGGAGGAGTCGTAGAACTAGACTCGTACGAAATAGACGAGTTCCTAATTGAATAGTCTATAGGTTTTGGATTGAAATATGTGCTTGTCGATGACCCGTCCCTTGTTACGAAAAATTATTGAGATTGGGATAATTGGCCTGTGTTGTATGCTCGAGCTTGCTCATCTATGTTCAATCCCTTGTTACGAAGAGTTATTGGGAGGGAACCGCTATATGTTTAGGTGAGAGCGTCAATCTGGAATAGAACGATTAATGCCCCAGTTTGGCGAATAGAACTTGATTTGATTATCCCCGATTCCCTAGCTTCTCCACCGCTAGTTAATTCTTATTTTAGGTAGATTTATATTTTTGCATTGTTCTTTATTTCTTAATTGATAATGCCCAATTCAACTTGATAAGAATGTTTAGAATTTTATTTTCTTTTTGTGTGTGATCGATACCAAAGCTAAATTTCGAACCGCCTTTCTCGACAGATCGACCCGGGGAACGAATCCTTCGGTTCGGTACTCAGTAAAAATAACAATTTGTACACAAGAAATTTGGCGTCGTTGCCGGAGAAGGCAAGTAGGACATTTAGTTTTGGTATTGATTTTATTTTTGTGTTTCTCTTTATTTTGTGTCTTTCGTTTTTGTGTTCTTTGTCTACATCTTTGTTCTTGTTTTTGTATTCTTTTTTTCTTTCTTTTCGTGGCTATGTGTAGTTGTTCTGTTTTGGTGTGCAGGTATTATGAACTACAACCGCGAGTTCCCCTTACTGCACACCCAATCATGGGTTAACGAGCCGAGCTATCACACGGGGTACCACGTCCAATCTTATCCATATTCTTCCGAGCAGTACTGGGATCCCTACCCAGTCGAGCAATCTTATGAGTCCCACGAATTCAACGAGAAGCGCAACTGAATCTATGCTTTCGCAACATCCCCGTTAGCTCAGGAAGAAGAGACCGCAGCCCGGTGTGCCCGTCTGAGTACTCAGCAACCTCCTTACCATGATTCTTGGGACTATGGCCAAACTTTGTCATATCCCTTCGAGCAGCAGTGGGATTCCGTATCTGTCGAGTAGTCATATGAGTCCCTTGAGGACTCTTCAGAGTATAATGCAAAACTCGATCAGGCTCTCGCTCTTTTAGCATCTTAAGCGGCCCGTAGAAGCAATATTGAATCCAGAATCAAGAACCTAGTGGAGCGCGTGCAAGCCTTAGAGGATCGAGTTAAAAAAATTTCTTTCGAGCCCACCACTCAAGGCGAGTCTACACATAGGAATGAACCTCGGGAGGCTGATTTGTCGTACGATAAAAAACTCGACCTCATTCTTTCTCGCATGTTTGCCCAAACAGCTCGAGATGAGGAGATTGAGCTCGGATGTGCTCGACTGAGCACGCAAATGGAGATTCTTGCAGCACATATCGACTCAATCGAGGCACAAGTCGACGATTCTCACCTTATGTTTGATGCTCAAGCTCGTATGTTGAAGCAAATGTGTGAGGCCGAAGAAGAAGATGATGAGCTCCAGCGAGACGTTGATGATATCTCAGATGAGGAGATCCGTG